TTAATTCTTATTACTTACAGAAAAAAACATGAAATGATGCTTAAAAGCATAAAATAAAATACTTGCACAATGCTGTAATAAATGTTTTTACAATTGTGCAGTAATAAGATTTTTACATTAAGTATATTATACATAGTATTAATTGTATATTGTAGTTCAGTGGATAATATTATTAAAATTTATATTTGTGTTTAAATCTTATCTTTTAAGAAAATTAACATAAAATGATTGTTGTAGATGGATGGGAATGGTTGGAGTTCTTTAGGCAGAATCTTGGCAGGACGTAAGCCTGTATTTCTATATCGTAATGTAAGACAATGGAGGAAAAGGGCTGCAAGAATGATGTCAGCATCTATTCCTAACGCTAATAATCCTGAGAAGGGTGCAGAGTAAGTATTGTTTTTATTATTATATTTATGATATCGTTCCTTACTTCTTTTTCTTTATATTCTTTATTTATTATTCTCTTTTTTCAGATCAACTGACAAAGATAAGGCAGCTCTAGACTCTGTGGACGCTATTTTGAAGCGACCTGCTGGTTTAAGATTAGCTGATTCTGGGGATACCTCTGACATTATTAATTCTGATGAAACCCAGTGCAGATTTAATCCAAACAGTTACCAAATGCTTTATGTTGCTAGCAAGGAAGCATTCCTTTATAAACAGAACTCGTTCAGTCGTGCCAGAGAGGTAAATTTAATAATTATGTTCTCTATAAGACAAAGTGTTACATATACATACTGTTACATATGAACAATAAATATTAATATTCTCAACATTTTTTTTATAGTGTCATCCAACTGTAACGAAACACTTGAACACGAAATTCCATCAGTGGCTCTCATCTTGGGCGTCTAAAAATGTGGCGGATATACAGCATCGGTTATGTCAAGACTGGTTAATGGGTCGTTACGAGAATTTAATCCCTCACAAGACACGAGTGATCACGGACAATGATCAAACTAGATCACCTTACCGACAATACAATCGTTATCGAGTAGAACGCTTGCAACCCGATCTTCTGACGGAACCATGTGTATAATCTTACATCTCTTATAATTTCTTTACTATTCTTTGAGAATATATGATTATCAATGAGAGCTCGTTTAAATAATCTCGTACTCGTGGATACTTTTTGTTAATAATTAGTTAAGAATTAATTGCGATCTAGGGCAAAAATGAGACTGATTCTTGGCCCGCTATTCGCGTTGTAAACCACTAAAGAACGTCTTGTTTTGCGGATGGAGATCATCATAGAAAAAGATGATACTAAAGGGGTCATTAAAGAATCGTCATTCTTTACTAGACTCATTGCATTCGACTACGACAAAACGTTTGGTTTTTTTTTATTGTACAGGTAATACGATGCAAATGGAAGTATCGCTAATTCGTTAAATTACTATTTATGTAAAGATTTACAAAGATTTTCTAGTTATACATGTGAAATTTGCAAATTGAATGTTATAAGATTGATCGATATACGCGATATTTCCAATTGTATCGAAGATAAGCTTGTGATCAGGTAATGTAAGATGTTCGAATATAATGTTTCTTTTCTACAACGACTCATTCACCATCGCACTAGGTATGGATATTTCGTGTAAGGTTTTACATAAGAGAGTAAAGTTAGAAGAAAACTTTTGATACTTTACGTAATCGTAAACAATACAGATAGAATATACTATCTTCATATAATAATTACTGTGCGTCAAGTGCAGAGATTGTAGATTCAGTCAATTTTATTTCATCAAATATTTTATTTTTATATGCTGTGAGATTTCATTGAAGTATTAGAACTGTTAGATTCTGTTGTCAGTTAAACTTATTATTTATAGTGAAAAAATAACAAATTTGAACAGGTAATCGAACGTATTTATGCGAAGTTCAAGAAAGTAACTTACGGAAGATTGTACGCTTTCTTTACACAATAAAAATTAAAAAAAGAAAAGAAAAGATTTGTCATATGGATCTTTAAAACAGTCTCCGTGGTTTTTCTGGTTTTGGCAAAATTTTTTATCGCTGGCACTTTACGTGCAACAGATTGTTCGTAGAAGTTTTTCATAACTTACTTCTCTTATTTTGTTGTCAACCAATCGAAGTCTCTCTTCACAGAAAAATTTATTATACATAAACCGTATGTATAGATACATACTTGTACATATGTACGTGCATGTATGTATAAATGTGCTAAGAAGTTGAGTGCATCTATACGTATGTACACATGTAAGAACGAGAACAAACACTAGGCCTTATTTTTTACCTGATCTTTAGGCTACTCGGTAAAATATGAAAGAAAAAATTGTAAAATGTTAAATATATTGTAGTGGTGTTCCTGTACAGTGCAAAGGTGTTGACAACATCAAAAGTGCGATGTTAATTGGTACAAAGCATTGGTTCACCACGCACGAGGTACATGGCTCGAGTTCTGATTTTATGTTATTCTTATTATCTTAGATATGTATTTTTTACTGATTCACTTTTATTCGTACATCGCTATAGATGAGATATATATATACATATGTAACGATGTATATATGTGTATGAACATACATATACATCAATGTACATATACATACATACCATCCTGACTAAAATACAACTTTTTTTTTAATATTGTGGGTATATTTTGTCAATATTAAATTTTCCGTTCGTTAAACCTGTCGCGAGAAAGAAAAACAAAATGTTAATTGATCAGGATATTCGTGCGTGGTAGTAGAAGAAAGTAAAACTCCTTTGTAATATTCAGACTGTATGCAGTCGTTGCCACAACCGGAAACACGAATCAGCTTTTTGCATCGATTCACCACAACGCTTCAGACATTCAGGCAGAATATACGGTTTCAAATATAGTGACGGATAATAATGTAAGCAACAAGCGGCTGTATACATTCTTATCCTAATTATACGGATTTCGTTGGGGTCACGGCGTCTCTGTTTTTGCGAATAATTTTGAGAAGATGCCGTCACACGTATATACTTGCATACGCGCGTGATTGCCCACACGCTCGCTCACACACACACGCGTGCGCGCGTAAACATGCAACACAAACACACACACATACACACGTAACACATATACACACTGATTTTCACTGTGCCGCTCAGTTATGCAATATAACACTGCAGTTGTACATTAAAACCGGTGTATCTTATCGAAAGGAGAACAAAGAAAAGAGAGACGCGGTCTTCCGATGCTCGACTACTTGTGACTATTAATGATAGTGTATTTTATCAAGAAATTGCTAATTTTAAAAAAAAAAGTGTATGTCCGTGTATCAAAAGTGAATGTACAGGCAATTTTATTACTCGAGATAATAATTTAATGTTGATATATTTTGCACAAATCATTATTAATATTAATAAACCATTAATATTATCATTGTCCTACATTTCTTCTATTAACTATGGATTTTCAGGTGGAAGAATGAATACGTTAAAGATAGCAGCGCGGAACGATTATTTGTTTAACAACCGTAATGATGGACCGTGAGGTAAGTGATAGGTTTAAAAGCAAGAACATAATCATTCCTACAACATTACTTTAGTTTTATTAAAAATGGTAACATTGATAATCATTGTACAACTATAGATGTAGCATAACGTAACGCGTGAGTTGTAGCATAACGTTGTAAATAATTTAATTGTAAATCTTGTAAATGTATATGTAAGCGGAACGACGCGAAGAAAGGTGTGCTATGGAGTATTGGTAATTTCGATGTTACAGGGAGCAATCAAATTTTAGCTATACTGTTCATGGCTCTGGTCAAGGTACCAAAGACAATGTAAGAAAGTTACTGTCGACGATAATTAAGAAAATAGATTTCTAGAGATCCAAAAGAGATGATGAAAATTACTATGGAACTAAAATATTGCTTAGAGAGATTCACATATCTATTTTTGAAGCCTTCTTTCGTTCCTTTAAGACAGAAATAAGAAAGACATAAAATTGTTGCATCCAAGACCGCCATGATAGTTACTACACACTTCTCCATGCTTGCTTTCTTCACGAAGAACGCATTCTTCTTACGGATTTCGTCAATTATTCACGAAAGGAGCACTCACTCCTTCCAACTAAATCATAATCACTCTACATAGTGAAATACTGCATACGAATACATTGTCTGTACTTTTTCCTACACGTCTTATAAATTTCTCTAATTACTAGACTGCAGATTCGATTGAAATTTTATCAAACTTTTGGTTCACTTAAATTTTGATAATATATATAGCGTTAACGGAATAAACGGATTGCTATGTAATTCCTGTTCCTATAAATTGATAAAAGTCTATATTTGTTTTGAGCATCCACAGTCTACTAATTACAGGTTGTGTAAATTAGTTGTTTAATGCCAATCTAGCTGTTTAGTTATACTTCTTGGATAAAATAACGAGTTCTCCAATGTAGTGAAATATTATTACAGAATCTAAGTTTCCTATTTGAAAACGTGTAGAAAAACTTTTCGATATAATTACTTCTCTATTTTATCGTTTTATGTATGCCTACTGCACTGCAATATTCAAAAGCAATTGCAAGACGGTGTAATGTATCTATGAAACGTGAAAAGATTCGTTTCAATTTGAGCAAGGACCTCTTTGGTCGTTAAATAAGAAATTCGAGTATGATGTTGCGTAACGAGCAAATGATATTATATAGTTACATTACTAGTCCATTACGTTATATAAAATGATTCAATAGAATTTTCCCCGGTTAAGTACAAAATCGTGAATTGTGCCTTATCAAAATACTGTAACTAAGCTTGCTATAGCTTTACACCTTGAACAGGTCTGATTTGATAAAATTAATTTCCATTATACATTCATGGTAATTTGAAAGGGTAAAGTATTCTTGTCCACGAGTAAAATTGAAACGAATGAATTAAATGTTGCTGCGAGCCGCGTACCTTCGCTGTTAATGCGAAACCGTAATTACTAGACTGCGGATGTTAACGAATATATACGTATTATTTTTATAAAACGATTTGAAATAACCGAAGCTAGGTAACGATTAATAATAATTAAAATAGAGAAAAGAAGTCTTTGCATCGTCGCAGTCTAATAATTACGTTTAACCGTAATCCTAGTGATACACTTATGTATATGCAGAATTAAACTCTTATTTTGATAAATATGAATTCTTTTAGACCCATCAGTAATTCTATTCAAACCGTTATTTCGAAAATCATTAGAACTTGTTCATTGAAAGAGGTTAACAGTTTTTCTTTCAATAAGCCGATTTCGCTGCGAAGAGATTTCAAAGAGATGAAGCTGAATGTTATTATAAATAGTACTTAAAAAAGAAAACAATTAATGTTAGTCCACTACTCGATTACGTACGTTGTAACGTAACCATCACTTACAATGAACTATTTGTTATGATAATCCAAGTAAAATAATTTTAGTTAACTTACGGTTCTCCGTGCGTCTATTCTACGTCGAACGATAGGCAAATCAGTACCCGATATGTTTATGTTTTCTCATTTTGCAACGTTTCAAACCCGTAGCGACCTCACGTGCGAATCAAGCCTAATTTGAAAAATCGCGCCATCGTGCGAGACCTTCGTTTTCAAAAGCGGATGCGTGCGCAGTTTAGTATCTCCGTTTCACCGAGTCACATCGTTCGCAGCCGCTCCGTACATAATCAAGGTAAAATCATGAATTATTCAAATTCCCCACGCTAAAACTGCTTTAAAACTATCGATAGTAAGACTAGGGACGGAATTATGCAAAGAAATATCAGAAACTATCATTTTGCGTGATAATAATCCATTTCGAAAATCTCGCACTCGAGGCTCGGGATGCCGCTACCCGAAACCGTCGACTATCTTCGATTTCTCCCGTATAATTACCAATTCAATCGATAATTCTTTAATTCCCTTTAATTATCTTTCATACACCATTACCAATTCGATCGATCGTCTCGATTGAATTGATAATCTATCGGTTGAGAACACGAAATCACGATCACGAATTATTTCGTTCGATATGAATTGGCGGTTCAAAGATGGTCGCGCTTGAATTTGAATCAGTGGCCGCGCGGGAAATTCGAATGTGCTGATTCGAACATGTGAATGAATCTTCTTCGAAGATAGTCCCTTGCAAATACTGTATGCGTCCGATGCAAAGTAGAATGCGACCAGTTCAATTATTTTTTCTTATTTTACTTATTCGTTCGCCATCTTTCCCGGAGACCAGGTTATATGGTTTATGGCGACCAGTAAAGACGGGGACCGGAAGCAGTTCGTGAAGAATGCTGGGACCAAGAGGAAAATGAGAATTAGTGGACGCGAGATGAGGCTGACGGTGACACTTCGAGCTGCTGATGATGTTGCGCGGGTTCAGGTAAATGCGCATGCTCGTTTCAAGCGTTAAACGGCGCGCGAGTTTTAACTGATGTAGTCCGCCTGGTCCATGGTGTACGGCGATCTGCCCTCGATGTCGTCCGCTGTCGTGTTCTGGCGACAGTGGTAGACGTACGCGTTCATTGATATGTTTTCGCCAGTGCGTATGCATCTGAAGGACTTGTCGGGGCATTTGCACCTGAAAAGATAATAGGAGGAATTTTAGGATGATCCTAATCATTAGCAGAGGTTTCTAACCTTTATGCTACTACGTGTAAAAGAAATTTTTTTTTGATACGCTTAGTGCCACGTGTACTATATGGTACAGGCCAATTTTTGTGAGAAAATATTATTAACCCTATGGTCTGTTTTTTAACTGTCGACACAACATTGTCCCTAATAATTTATTGAAAAAAGAGAAACATTCTATATTCTATGTCTACGTTTGCTCTGCAATATAATAATAACAGAAGAATAATACCTAATTATAATTCAAAGTGATTGAATAATATTCCTATTTGTTAAATTCTATTTAAATTCTTCACCAGGAGTCTCACACGTTATTGTAAGGCAAAGGGTTAAAGGGCACATGGTCAAGAATACCGGTATACGTTACAAAGCAGTGAGAACATAAAGGAACAATATCAAAATATATATAAATTTCCAAAAAGTTGAATATAACTTAATATCTTAAAATGTGTAGATGTTTAGTAATCAAATATTCTTTGGTTTTTGATTTTAATATATGCTTTCTGATACAGGTAACTACAAATCGAGATATCCTTGTACACTTCTATGTGAGTAACGAACTTCCACTTCTTTTTAACTCCTTAATGTATTAAATTTGTCAAATAAGAATTAAAATGTTCTGTTTGACTTAAATTAGATTCCGTTGAATTCTTTATATTACTAGTATTACATTAAGGAGTTAACTGTTATTTATTATTTATTCATTAACCGTTATTAACATTATTCTTCATTATTACTGAATATAATATTTATCTAGAAATTTTTATTATTCACTGCTGATAACAGTGAGATGTTCATTGGAATAATTACTAGATCTATGTAGATCATTGCATCCACGTTATAAAGAATTACAGCGGTACTATGTTGACCGACTGTGCTTAATTGCAAATGTTACTGCCGGTCAACGATGACCTCCCTTTAACGCGTGAAAAATTCGATCGCGTTCGGCTGGTGAAATCGAACTGTGCAAAATTCATCAGCGAGTTTGAATGGAAATAAGTAAACGAGATTAAAGATCCATCGTAAACTCGCCGGCAAACGATAAACTGTTTACTGCTTCTTTTTTACTTCGGAGGGTTATTGCGCGCAAGCCAGTTCATTCATAAAGAACGAGCTTTATCGGCCTGTTTTTGCTTATTCACGATAAATAATGGACATCATAACGGGGAGTCACATATACCCCACATTTTTACATGTTTCATAAGATTCGTCGGACAAACATCTTAGTAATGTTCATTCATAATTGATAAGAATTTCATTGTGTTCGGCGGAGTTCTTCCTTCAGCGTAAGAAATTGAAATCACCCGAGCGCATTCGTGATTTATTTACGACCGATCTCGAATGAAACGAATCTTCGTTGATCGCCTTAACAGTTTTCCATTCGCAATAATGTTTCGCGATCTTTGTTAATGACTTGTACAAACGTTACTTACGTATTCGGCATGAAAATTGAGCCTCGGCGAGTAACAGGGTTGTAGGAGTTCCATCCGCATGGCTCGTCGTAGCAGTTTCGTAACGGTTTGTCATCGTCCCCGATTTTGGTAGCCCTCTGAGTCCTCAGACTGTCAGGATTCTCTTCTTGAACAATGCGGCTCAGTTGTTCAGCGAACTCCTGGAAAAATCGAACGAAAATTATTGTTAAATTTTGTCCTGATTAATTTTTTTTATATTTAATATACAGGGAGGATAAAAGACATCTATGAACTATTCGATGCATTGCGTAGCTTGTAGTTTAATAAGTGATATTAATTATTCAAATATATTTATTAGTTTATGCATTAAAAGTTTTATACAAGAAAAATTCAATTTATTGCTAATGAGATTAAGAGTATAATGTTTTTATAGCTCAGCGTTCTCAGATGTATTTATTACAAGTTTCCTGCGAATATTCGAATAAGTTTCCATTGTTAAGAGAGCTCGTTTGAAATTGCATACCTCAATGAAAGTAAAATGACTTCGTCAGGAAGGATAATATTTCTGCTTGCAAGCATAACCGCGGCTTACAATTAGACCAACGAGTAAGCACTTTCTCTGCCATTCGATCACCGAGGGTTGGTAATTGTAAACGTTTTTATACCTTGCCCGGACAACTTTCACTCGAACGATGAATACAATTTTATCAATCGAAATTCAATGTTTCCATCATCCGTGGAAGATTTTTCTGGCAAGTGGAGTGGCAGATATGATTCCAAGTTTGTTTGGAATAGTCGATGACGAACGTGAGTAACAGATAAGTGGTCTTATGGCGAAATTTCAATGATTATCTTCCAAGAGTTAAGTGCTCAATCTTTTCGACGCGGTAAGGGTCAGTGTTACTGATTCCACATTTGGAAAATTCCTATACTCCCAGGGAATCCCCAGTTTCATTCGGCTTACAAGTTCAATTAATTTCTCCGCGAGACCCAAGTCGACACTATTCCAAAACCCAAAATCGCGTTTCGATGCTATCAGAATTCCGTTCCAAACAACTTTTCAAAATCTATACTTCAACATTGTCAATTCCCCCCAGTTCCTCGGTAGAAACAGAAAATCAGCGACACAAAGATGCTCACTCGAATGTCACGCAACCTTAAACCGTGTCAATTACAAAATTCTTGAAACTACTGATACCTCGATCAAACCACGTACAACGGAGTTATAAAATTCCTCCAGTAGAATAAGAACGTTTCAGTCAGCCAAGCGATCGGACAACCCTCTTATACCTGTCAGATCATCAGACTAACATCGAATAACATCTATACGACCACCCCCGGTAAGAGACGCAAGCACAGTCTCCGAAGTGACTCAACGATCAACTCTCAAATCTGAAAATCCAATTACCTTCTATCCGTTCCCCCTTCAGCTCTAATTACCCAAGGAACCAAGGTCCACAGTGTGATCATTAATATTGCTTACCTCCGATCTTACCGCTGCGCCCTGCGAGTAGTCTGCGACGTACAGCACCGCCAACACCGTCACCACCAATTTCAACAATACCGAGTTCATCTTCTGTCTGCTCGAAAAAATTCGGCCCTGGCGGATATCTGCCGCGTTACTAGGACGACGGTGGTCTAAGGATCGTCGTTTTCTTCAGAGTTCCTTGCTCCCTGTCCTCTCCTCTTCCTCCTTTTCTTCTTTCTTCTCTGTTATTTTCGAGTTAGGGACAGCGCGCCGCGGGCCACGAGATCGTCAGGGATCGGCACCAGTTCTCTCAGGTGTCAGGAATCGAGCTTTGTCGATGAGAATCAATTGAAAATCGACGATGTCGGGTGTCTTTTCTCACGGTTGACTCGCGAGAGACAGAGAGAGAGTGAGGTCCTTCGGCCGGCTCGACTCGGAACGATTGTTTTCAACGCGTGGCTACTGTCTAACCGGTTCGTGTAACACGGATCCGTCGTTTAGGCGACTTCTTCTTCCGACTTTATACGTAGTCGACGACTCGTATAGGGAATGAGAGGAGAACCGAGTGGCTCGCAGTTTATATAGGCTGTGCATCCGATGGTGGGAGAGTCTGTTT